CCAACAATCCCTTCTTTCCCTCTGGGGTCTTTTCTCCTACTCCCCCTCCCACATGAATCCATGGCTGTTGGACTCTACTTCATCTCTCTAACCTCAACTCTCTCTGCAATGTCACACTCCTCCCAGGCCTACACACTCACCCAGTGTCACATCTTGCCCTTCTCCAGCCTAAATCACCCCCACCTTCGCACGATCTAACCAGCCTGCTTCAGGGGAGATCCCCAAGGATGCCCTCCCAACATGCTCATTCCCAACTGCCTTCTCACTTCCATGCCCTGAGCCACTCTTGAGAAGGCGTTCTCAAATGTATTCACATGATCTGTGGTATGCCAAGGGACACAAGCAAGGTCTCAGCTCTCCCTGAAGCTGGTGTTCCCACTAGGGACACAGTCAGTATCAAAGAAACAAGACTTGTAAACAAAGGAGGACATATGCCCAGATCCTTAGTATACAGCTTAGTGAATTTTTACTAAGTGAACACACCCACATACTCAGCACCCAGATCAAGGTACAAGTCATTACCAGAATCACAGATGTGCCTCCCACCAGGCACTATCTGCCACCAACAAGGTCCCCGCTACCCTGACATCTACCCTCATGGATTAGTTCTGCCTGTTTGCCACTTTATATAAATGGGATCCTACAGTATGGACACTTTTGTGTCTGGCTTCTTGAGTTCAATATTATGTTCGTGAGGTTCATCCATATTATTACATGTGATTGTAGTTTATTACTTTCTATGCATTCCATTGTGTGAATATACCACAATTTATTATTAAAACACTCTACTGTTGATGAATATCTGGATATTCCCCAACTTGGATTTATTACAAATAATACTGCCATAAACATTCCTATAAATGTCTTTATGTGAATATATGTTTACATTTCTATTGGAGATACACCTAAGAGTAAAACTGCTGGTTTTTAAGGTGTACAAATATGCAGTGCTACTAGACAATACCAAAGAGTTTTCTGAAGCTCTTATACCAATCTCATTCCCATTAGCAAAGTATGAAGAGTTCTAGTTGCTCCATACTCTATGGGATTTACAAAGATCCCTCTGGCTACTATACGAAGAATAGATGGTAGAAGGTCAGCATTGGACATAGAAAGACCGGAATGAGGTCACTGCAGTTGTTTAGGACAGATGATAGTAGCTTGGACTAGGCCAGTGGCCATAGGAATGAAGAAAAGTAAGCAGATTTGAGCTATAAACTCAGTGTTTCCTACTACTGTTTACAATTATCCTTCTCTTTTCATTGAAATGATAAAGAGCGAGATAGAGAAGCTCAGATAACAAAAGGAAACAAACATTTTGACTTAAAAAGTAAAAAATATCAAATACACAGGTCATTCAAAATCGGTAAATCCAAAAGTCAATTCTAGGTGCCTTTTGATCCAAGAGCTTTCTAGTAAGCCACCTAACCAGAGAGACTAAGCCAGAGGGTCAGAACTGGTCCTAGATCTGGCCCATGAGATATGAAAAAGGGGAATGTGTCTGATAGAAAGTTCATTAAATCTACAGGTTTTTCCGTGAGGTTGCTGTGGGTGATATAACAAAACTAAAACTCTCAGCCCTACCCTGGAGAACAAAATGTTGCTCTGTGCCGTGGCAAAGGTCAAGACTGCTGTGGAATTCTAGAGATGGGAGATAAGCAAAGAACCTGACCTCGAGCAACAAAGATAAAGCTGGAGTCAAAGGGCAAGAGCCTCCTCGAATGCCTTGCCAGAGTTGAGTCTAGATGGTCTACTCTTTGAGGAGACCCTAAAGGATATGAGCAGACAAAAGACTCATTGAAAATTAAATTTAATCTGGGTGCTGGCATGTAAAATGAAGTGTGGGGTGGCCTGGGGCAAGATATAGGGAATCCAGTAGGGAGGCTGAGAACATCATCTTCATGGGAAGCAATTACAATTATGGATTGACTGTAGAAGAAAAAGGACTGACAGGTTCAATAGCTGTTGAAGGAAAAGTCAACAGGACTTGAGGTCTGGCTGGGTGTAGAGGATTCGAGTTTTACAGCCTGGGTGACCTGGAGGATATCTCCACTGATAGAGAAAAGAAAGTCAAAGAAAAATGAATTTGAAGAATAAATTGTGAGATGAGCTAGCTGAATTTGAGCTAAAACCAAGACATTCAAGTGAACATATCCTTCGGGCAGATAGATCTGAATCTGGAGGCATGATTTAGGAGCAGCTGATGCCCTAGGAGAGGATGAACTTTATGAAGAAGGCCACAGGGATTAAAAAAAAAAAAAAGGACTGGTACTGTATCTTGGGGATTCTCACACTCAGAGCCTCCAATAACATTCTCCTCCACCCTCTACCATGATCCCAGACACTCCAACACCGCTATCATTTCCCCTCCACTGCTGAGGGAATTTATAGTTACTGAGCATTTACTTTGAGCCAATCTTGATATCAAGTCAACCTATTATTTCATTAAATCATGAGAACAGCCTATGAGGTAGATATTGCAAACCCATTTTACAGAGGACAAAACTGAGGCCAAGAGAAATCAATTAATCGAGTGTGAAGTGAGCACAAGGTTGGCACTAAATCCAGGCCTCCTGACTGTCATTCAGTTGGGCACCTACCATGCACCAAGATTTATAGGGAATATAATGATATTAGGCTCTATCTTCCTGGAGGGTACAATCTGGATAGCGATAAGTTGGTTACATAAATAATGATAAATTAAGATAGAGCCTGACAATGTTCCAAGAAAAGTAACGATAAGGTTTCCCTTCAGTCCAAAGGACTGAGGACATTACAGTCAGGTTCCAGAAGGAGGAAGCACTGACATGCCTAAAGTCTTGAGGATCTGTGGGGACTCACTATCACACCGACTCTTATTCCATAGATATTGTGTCCAGGAATTGCAGCCGTTCGGGCAGGCAGCAAGGGCTGTTGCGGTACAGGCTGCTGTGGAAATCGTTGTAGGGTAAGATCCAAATAAAGGTGGAATTCAGGATGGGTTTTTGAACAGGTCTTCGAAGAGCCAACCTAAAGCCACGGCCTCTTCCACAGAATTTAGCTACACAAGCACCTCTACAGAGTTCAAGATTCACCTCATCCGCCCATCCGAAGTCTCGGTGGGCCTGACTAGTGGGGACTAAAACCCCCATGAATCTCCACAGATGCTGGCTCTTAGTTAGGGTTAGCTTAATTCCAAGCAGCAGGGTTTGACAGGAAATGTATTTTTAACTGGACTCAAGAAGAGCGTAGTAATGGGGGGAGGGGGGCTAGATGCAGCCTGCTAACGCATGGGAAGGGTGCCCTTACTCACCGTTACTCCACTCTGTATCCAGATGCTGCGCTCGATCTTCTCTTGGGCTTTCGGGTTGTTTGGTGCCATCTACTGCCTCTCGGTATCTGGAACCGGTCTCTAAATTGGACCCAAATGTTTAATGAACAAAGTGGGACTACCACTTCAAAGAGACCTCGTAAGGCTTATTAGCCTGTATTCACGCCCTCCTCACCCCATTCTGTGAGTCTCCCCACCTTTCCCATGTGGGCCCGGAAACCAGGGCAAGACTTGTCTTTGAGAGGGCTTCCTCCACGTGGGCCAAACGAGCCCCTTGCAAATCCCCCTCAGCACATGCCAGGGACAGGGAACCAGGAGGAAGGATCTCCCTCTGACCTCCTTCTCTCACATGAGCCTGCCGCCCCCACAGAGGCTCTTACTTGCTCAACCAAACCCACTGGAATTTGTGCGTGGAGCCACCTGGTGTGGTCTTCTGGAATGTGACGCTCTT